AACTAGTAGCATTGCGTAGTAGCGCGTTCACTTCAGGATAGAATGTGTCCTTGACAGGATTAGAACTGCAGACGGTGAGAGCATACGCGGAAACCACAAACAAACAGAATTTGTTACCAATTTGTGAATCAACCTTCATTGATGTCGTCAAGCGGGCTGCACACAAACGACTGTTCACCGGAATCCAATCAACCAACGATGGCTCAGTCTTGGAATTATGAATGATGCCTACCCTACCTTGACCGTTGAGTGCTGTATCAGTGTCTCCGGTTGCGTGCAACTAATAGCGAGAGGACAAGCCGGGTGCAGTTACTTCAACAACTCCATTAGGATCATTGATCCTAGTTTCGGACACAAAACACACCTCAATACGCAGTGTGTCCAACATGCGTGTGAGTGCAGCCTGTGGACCTATTGGCCTTAGAGTGCGAAGGTTGGACTCCACCAGAGAAACGGGACAGCGTGGACTTATAAGGAACTGTTGCCGATAGATCTCCGGTGGGTTTTGATGGAAGATGGCTGCAGGTGGTTCTACTCCAGTGGCATTTGCTTGTTGTCAATTAAGCTGGAAAGTATGGTAGGAAGGTTAGTAATAAGGGTCGGGATGAGAGTAGGAGAAACAGGCGGAAAAGAAAGGAGGCGCCAGTGGTAGCATGTTTTCGCTTATCCGTCTTGCTGTATGCAGCAGATAAGGCGACCCTTGATAATCTGCGAGACGTCCGATGCAGGAGGAAGTTTATGTTTGAAGAAAATTTCATGGTTGTATGTGGACTGGGATCCTGCCAGGGTGCCCAGACCTAGACAGGAGGACGATTACGGTCCTCAATCTAAGTCTGTGGCTCAAAAGCCTGTCCACAAGGCAGCTGGGAGGTGTCAAGGATTTAGTTTAACAGAAATGGACGCGATCCCACTTCAAATTCCTAACCTGAAGGACCAGAAGACTGCGTTTGTCTGACCTCTAACCATTGACCGACCTGGCAGGATTAGCTCTCAAGGGGCCTGGTGGTCCAATAAGGATAGCTCAGCGGGTAAAGGAGGTAAGCAGACCGTCGCACCACGTTACGGTCCAGTCTTCTTACAACGGTAGTACATGACCGATGCTGACGGAATTTGTGTTGCTCCGGCGCTATGATGCTAGAACTTTCTAAACAGCCCGTAAATGCCTCAGCTATGATCGACTCCACTACTGTTGAGGGTACTGCGAAGTGAGATAGTTAGCCGGTTCCAACCGGATACCCTCTTAAAATCGGGGTAAGGATACTCTGTTTCCACAGGTTGACTAACTACTGTTCTTCCAGACATCCTTAGCAAAATCTCTTCAATGGCTCAGCTATTCTTGTAGCTGCTACCTGGTGCTTTCGAGGGTATGTAGTCAACACCGGAGGAACAATGGGTACGTAATGATAGAAGCCTGCTCATAACAGTTGCTAAACTAAATGTGAGGTGTGTAAATACTGGCGTCTGGGAGGATGAAAAAGGTATGTAGCACATGCTGGTGGCTCCCCGGAATGTTGGAGCATATGGGAGCCGTAGAACGTCGGCAGCATCCTCGGCAATTTGAGCACATACGCTGGCTGAGTTGGATTGGGGAACGCCCCGCTCCGCGTTCCGGAAGCTGCTCACATGTTAGTTCAAATGCGTTATTTGTATAAAATCTTACCGTCAGGCACTGCTGGCGTATTAATTTGTCCACACGGACAGATGTGTGGTACAGTGATTACTTTGCACTGAATAGCTGTTCCACTTGTCAGGACTAGGGTCAGCTGTGTTCACACGCCCCGTTGAGTCTCTTACCGCCATGCGTTTTCGGGTTCTGCATCGAATGAATGAGGGAGCTGTCGCAGAAGGGAGAGTCTGTTTTCTAACGCAAATATGAGCAGGTCACTGAACTTGCTAATCAAATGATGCCTTACTAAATCCTCTCAGATATTTAGGCGAGAAATCGTGCACAATGGCGAACTTGTTAATACTCACTATTCCCATGAACATCAGATATTTTTCTGCTACGTTCGTATAGTTACTGTATTTTTCATATGTTGCGGCACTATGCCAATTGTACTATTGGCCGTGATGATATATATATATATATATATATATATATATAATGAGGAAATTTGAGACATATTGGAGTACACGTTGTGTGATTGGATTACGACACGCAATCTCAATGTAGACCGGGATTCGCAATGAACTGACCCTTGCATACTTCTACCACTAGGATCGTAGTTGATGAGGCAGAAGAAAACCTGGTGTTGCCCACCCGAGAATAGGGTCGAAACGAGTCGCGGAGCGCATTCTATTCGGTCGGACCACTCCTACATTCCGAATGAGTCTCAGGTAACTTCCCAAACCACTTCTGTTGATATGTCATTATGTGTGGATTCGCTGAATAACACGGATAATATTAAAGTAGCACAACCTGAGCACTTTCCGCTAGAAAGCTATCGTTGGCTTATCGAGCGTGAGATCCATGTTCGTAAGCACTAAAGCAAGCACTGAGGGTTCATTTCCCGCTATGAAACTTTTAGACGAATTAACAATAACTGAAGAGCGAATGCTTGTAAGTAACTCCTGCAGGTATTCCTTAAAATGCTCACTGGAGATGTTGGAACTTCCAGATGGTGAATCTGAGATGAGATGGCTGTGATGAGAACATGGCTGTATCTTTTCACATGACCTTTCCCAAGACTAATGTCAATCTGGAGTCCATCTCTAAGGTGAACATTGGGGGACGATAAGCAAGTACCATAGAACAGGCTTCAATGCGTCTCGGTTGCAAACGGCACCAGAGTTGGCATACGATCAGTGTTCTCGGAGCATCCACCGACTCGCACCGCAGGTTACTGCGGTAGTATAGAAATACCCCGCCTCCCTTGCTAAGGCTAGCTTTTCGGACAAAGGATATACCCAGTTTTGCAACTTCAAAGTCCATAGTTTGCCAGCCCAACCACGTTTTAGTTACAATGCTAGATCTGGCCGTAGTTTGGCAAACTTCCTGGTGAAGTTTGGATATACATGAAGGAAAATGGCATCAGTAGTACCCCGGTATACTGAGTATCGACGCTTCGCTGCCATGCACTTACCACCGGCCACGCGTAGGCTGCGTTTGCCGCGAGATCGTCCGCACCTAAGAGGATTAGAACCAGTGACCTCCGGAGTACAAGGCAGGTGCGTAATTCTTACGGCCCCCAGGTCGTGGCAACGGGACCAAGCCAATACGAAGCGCAGGAAAGTTCCTCTGCTCACAGTAATGAGTCAGAGCGCTGTGATTTGGGTGTGCTGTTGCACTGACCGATAAACGATCGGCCACTAATTGCTTCTTTTAGTTGGGCGGTAACGAAGTAAGTTGTGTCAGATCCAAAGATTCTACCGTTTCCTCCTTGCTTATCTCTGCCTTCAACGTATGGTGTGTGACCACCAGTTTCAATGACCAGATAAGCAGAGTTATCTGAACCGTTGTGGTGAGGTGCTTCGATCAAAGTGCTTACGTCGTGTGTTTGTTTGAAGTACACCGCATTGATCTGGTAGCTCAGGAGGTAGTCTGCTGTGATATGTGTACCAATCTAACTGGGCAACGAAAGTCTGCAACTAAAACACCTAGCTTGGAGTACAAAACAACCCTCGCCTCCACACCCCGAGTTACAGCTGTTCGCAAAAATTTCCAAAATTATCTATTGTCAGCCGCACATGCCTTTAACATCTTTCCCATGTTTTACAGAACAGAAAACTAACCCACATTGGAGTTAATCGGTCAATGTATTTCCAGGTCATGTTCCGCTTTAAACACCGTAGCTTTACCCCGTTAAATGAGCCAGTATAAACTCTAGGTGGAATTCTACAACTTACTGGAGCGATAATCACCCACCGTCACTAAGGTCACTGGTCGAGACGTCCCCCTAATTGGTTCAGTCAATGTGGGGGAGTCCAGGAATTTCGCCGAGTGTTGTAATGGAATCTGATAATAAACTCAAACCATAATCTCTGCGCTGGTCCGGAATGCATTCACAAGCTGCTAACCTCATCAATCTCCGACGTTGCCTTGCGTACCACAACGGACATCTCCCAAGTTACGTCAATGATTTCGTCCAGCTTCCGAATTCCATATCGTGCGTGGCTGCTGTACGAGAAGCCGTAGCTATCATGGTCAGTCCGGACCCCTGCAACATTCGTAATTGGCATGGTATTGCAGCGTTAGCCGCGCAATATTTCATTTGGCTTATAAGTCATGACCGTGTGCCATCATCACCTATGGTCCGGTGGAATAACCGCTGATTTTGAGAGCTTATGTGTACACTTCCTGGCGGAACCGGGACATGGGCACTACTGATTAGTTCTACAGGAACGAATTAGCCGTCTGGTGCTTGTTCGGAAGGGTGGATGGATACCTGACTACGAGTTTAAATGCAATGTATCAGTCATGATAAATAATCCATCGTTATGTATCCTCTCCAGTTGGTATATGCAAGCTAAACACATCGACAGTATCCATTCGTCCAGTTGTACCTATCAGACACTAGCCGAATGAAAAAGCATCCCTCCCGTGAACGCATCAGCCGCTGCTGAGTCATGTCACAGCCCACCAAGTACACACACTCTCGCATGACACTATCGCGCCGTTGACTGCCCCCGATCAATAGCTGGACGCCGGCCTCGTTTTATGATTGGTTCGTTTGTTCTGCTTGTTTTTCACTTGGTTCGGTGTAAGCATCCGAATACATATACGTGCGTGTCATCGTCGTCTGTTTTTCGTAACTGTAACAGACTGCCGGCCCATGCACTGAATAGGAATACACGATCGCTACTTAACAAGCCCATCAATCTGGCCAGGTCGGAGAGTCAGCCCTTTGACCCAAAGGTCCTACAGATAAGTGATAGCTGAGAATGTCAAAATTGAAGCCGCGTGCGTTTCAAGTAGACAGACCGATTGATATTACACAAGCGTGAACGTTAGAGTTCTGTCAGCAAGTGGCAAATGGGGGAGCAATCGAGGCACCACCTACCTTCATTTCTTGTAATCTTGGGTCGACTTGCTCGAAGATAGACATAGCGACGCCGAACAACGCATCGTCCGGCCATTCGACAAACCAGTCGATAGTACAGCAATTCACAAGTGAGGGGAACATCCGGCAACGAACTCTGAAGTTTGAACCGACTGGGGACATGCACAACACCACGTGCAGGTTGTTCCGCACACGGTTGATGCAAAACTCAAAAATAGCCTCGCGGTTACCCTCGGGTATGCCAGCTTCTTTGGCGGCTGGTCGACAGCCAATAATTAATCGCTCGTATTCCTCGCTCTCGAATAAGTTTGGCACTTCGCCGGAATTGAGGATATTATTGATATCTTCCAAAAACTCTTCGACCACGATCTGATTGTCAGTGAAGAGAAAGACCGTAGGTTTATTGTCGACGCCGGTCCAGAAGTACAACTTTTTCAAGTCCTCGTGAAAAGCCGCGTAGTCATATCCGCTGCTCACTTCAATTTGGAAGCATTTGTAATCGTTGAGGTGTGCGGCGAGCCTGCAAATATGAAAAAGGTGGAAGTCTATAAACAAGAGTGGAGTTAGTGGATGATTGACAATGAACCAGGTTGAGGAAGATTAACTGGTTGGACAGGACTCTGCATGGTTGATGAGAGTCAGTAAGTGATTTTCGTCTAGGCAAATCACAAGAGTCTGACTTAGACACCAGCCAAGTGTCATGCCAAATGAAGTGTTGACATCCCAATAAATCACACCTCTGCTGCTTCCAAAGCCCTAGAGCGAATAGTCAAGGAGAACATCGTCCAATATCTTACAAGATTGGATCTGATCAACCCTTCACAGCACGGCTTTCTCTCACAACGCTCCTGCGTTACATGCTAGCTACAATTTCTCGAGCACATCACGACTATGATTGACTGAGGAATGGCAATTATTATAATTCTGTTGGACATGCAAAAGGCGTTCGACCGCGTGCCACACCAGCCACTGCTGTCTGCTCTAGAGTCATATGGAATTGGAAATCCGCTGCTTAACTGGTTCGACTCATACCTAAACGGTCGGACTCAAGTCGTTAAAATCGGTCAGCAACATCCTACACCGAAGCCAACAGCCAGCAGTGTCTTCCAGGGAAGTGTACTCGGACCGCTACTTTTCTTAATCTACGTAAACAATATATGTGACCCGATCAAACATGGACATCCATTTATGTTTGCAGATGATGTCAAACTGGTCTACTCATTTCATCCAGACCAACTACATATGTGTTTGGGGAACATCTGTACAGACCTATCCGCACTAAATATAGCTAGTGAGCGTTTATTGATGAAGTTCTCCGCAGTGAAATCCCAAGTACTTGGGTACAGATGCCGCATCCCAGAAGGCTCCATTATACTTGCCGGAAACGTGATCCCAACATCTGATTCAGTTCGGGACTTAGGAGTTAGGTGCTCCAACTCTTTCAATTTCTCCGAACATGTTCTTTATCAGGTTGCGAAAGCAAGGCAGCTATGCGGATATATCACCAGAACTTTCTCCCTACCTGAAGTACGACTTGAATCATTCAAGACAACTGTACGACCGACACTGGAATATTGTACTATCGTTCATAACCAATTGAGAAAGAAAGACAGAACAGCACTAGAAAATGTCCAACGATCATTTACCAAGCTGGTCATGGGGCGCTGCTCAAACCTGACTTATTACGATCGCTGTCGAAAACTCCAGATGGATCCACTTTGGCCGAGACGCTACAACATTATAAACCAACGAATTTACGCAGACAGCACCGCACTTGAACTACGGAAGATTGCAGTCCACCCCACACGTAATGGCGGCTACTTGATACATACAAACCTTTCAAGTCATAAAATTCGGTCAAATTTCTTCTTAGTGAGATACACTGATCTGTGGAACAAACTACCCCTACAGATACGCATGTGTACAAGCCATGTCACTTTTCGAAATCTCCTTCAGACCTTCCTCACTATACCAAATGCTTTGAAGATATTTGACTCACAGCAAACACTAGAAACATTGACAGAATTTGGTACAAAAAACATTTGATAATAGCTTACAGCTAGCTTACCCACTACATGTCATTACATACCATACCAAATCCTGTGTCTTTGCAGCCTAATAGTCTCTTCCTTTATTATCTACTCCTGACGATACAAACATGCGTAAATGTTACATATGAGTTGCGCGGGTCTAGGACTCAACGAAAAGTAATCATGATCCGAAATGCCATTAATAAACTTTTCTTTAATGTTAGGAAACGCATGCACTATACAAAGAATCGCTCCCACTTATGGAGCAGTGTACCGTCCATCGGTAAATATACAAATTTATCTTTATTTTCTTTATTTTATCCGGACCCACCGGCCCTAACTATTGCAATGTCATTGTAAAAGGAGCAATAAAGATTTAGATATGCTTGTGCAACGGTTCATGACTGCAGACTTTCGTTTTGATACGGTGTTTCACTGATGTTTGTTTTAACCTATCATTTAGCCAACCCTACTGATCATTTGGAGTCGTTATTTTTACCTTCAGATCGCAGCCCTACTCGGACGCTAAAAAGCTCACTTTGCGTTTGTCGTGTGCACCTGATTGGTTCCTTATCTGGTCAGTCGTTATTGACTTTACATATCCGCACGCTTTCCGTACTCTAATTGGCTTTCAAGCTTATGTGGCAAGCTATTTAACGTAGTGGTGTCCTTAGGTGACAGAACCCTTGTATCTTTGTCACTGGTCGTTGGTGTTTTCACTACCATTGGTGGGTGGAAGCAGTCGCTGGGTTCCGAAACAACATAAGTGGCGACGAAAGTGGTGAATGATCATGGCTATTTCATTCGATCAGTTGCAGTCCCTCCTTCAGGAGCAGCAGGTTTAGTGTGAAAAGTCGCAGCAGCAGCTAATTGAGTTGCTGTCACAAAAACTAAACATCCAAGTGGAATGGGAACATGAACCAAGGCTGACATCACAGGAAATTGCATCTGAATGCCACAGGCTGCTTAGTTTGAACAATGATCCAAAAATTGTTGAAGTTTCAGATCCCAGAAGTGAACCCCAGTTCTGTCACGCAGCTACTAATGGCCAAAATATGAATCCAGATCTGCCGGACCAGAAGTCCCCGACTACGTCTTGGAACGGTGGTGGAAGACATTCTGCGAGAAATTGCGCCCACAAAATTCATCATTGTCAAAAGGTACACCAATTCAGATGCGTGTGTACTCCAACATTACAAGCGAGTTCCAAATTCAAAAGGAACAGGTATCGCAGCGCAGTGAGAGAGGCGGTTTTTGCAGTATTTCATGCAGACTTTTCAGGGAAGAGATAATATGCCACAGTGAAACGCAAGAATGTTCCTGTACCGCTGCGGCCAGAAACTGAGTGCGAATGATATAGCAACCTGGACGCACCCATGGAGTGGTCACGCTCACCTGCTCGACTATGTCATTGTACGTCAGCGTGATATGCGTGAAGTGCGCATGACACGTGTACTGCGTGGAGCTGAGTGTGGCACTGATCACAAGTTGGTGCGGACCAAACTGTACATATATTTTCGTAAATCTATGTATTGCACTCCCGCCGTGAATCGGCGTAAATTTAACATTCTCTCCCTCGGTACTGTGACGAAGCGGACTGAGCTGGAGAAGGCGATGGCTACACGCCTGTGTGGTGATGTGGACTGCATAGCCACAGTGGGCAACCTGTGGCACCACATTCGCGACCAGGTGACAGCTGCTGCCGAGGAGACCATCGGGCGCGCAAACTGCAAGCGGCGTGATTGGTTTGATGAGAACAGTGCGACGATCGGCCCATTGGTGTGTGAGAAGAATGCAGCATTTGCTGCACATGTTGCAGATCCCAGCGACTTAGGGAAGAGGTGTCAGTTTCGCAAACTTCGACGGCGACTGACCCGAGAGCTCCGTCGCATTAAAAATGCATGGTGGACGGAGAAGGCGAAGCGGATGGAATGCTACGCCGAACGCCGCCAACGTCAGGAATTCTTTGACTCCTTGAAGGCGGTGTATAGACCGAGATTGGGGACTCTGAGGACACTGATCGATGGTAGTTCAGGCGCTACCTGCACAGAGACTGCAGACATAATTCAGATGTGGCGAACGCACTTTGACTGTTTCTTGAACAACCGTTCAGAGATCGACTGGCCTACATTGAACGGCCTGAAGCAGCACGATGTGAAGACGAATCTGGCGGATACGCCGATACTGGATGAGACACAGAGAGCACTTGCTCAGCTGCGAAACGGCAAATGTGCCGGAGCCGACGGGATCCCACCTGAAGTATTGAAACACGGCGAACCCGCGTTGTTGACTGCTCTGCACCACTTGGTGCAACGCGTGTGGATTGAGGAGGAGGTGCCTCCTGAGCTGAAGGATGCCCTTGTGCTACCACTGTACAAGGGCCAAGGGAGCAAGCAATGTTGCACGAATTATCGTGGCATCAACTTGCTGAGTTGTGTGGGCAAGGTGATTGCCTGAATCCTGCTCAACCGGCTCGTCAGTCAGGTTGTGGAACCTAACGTGGCCGAAGAGCAATGCGGATTCCGTTCGGGTCGCAGCACTATAGATATGGTGTTTGCGGCTCGTCCGTTGCAAGAGAAATGCAGAGAACGACACCAGCCATTGTACTCGCTTTTTGTTGATTTCACCAAGGCATTTGATACAGTGAACCGCGAGGCATTGTGGCTGGTGTTGGGTAAGTTTGGTTGCCCGCGTAAGTTTGTAAGTTTAATTGAATGTCTGCACAGCGGCATGCGAGCGAGGGTGCAGCTGAGTGGAGAGACCTCTGATGACTTTACAGTTGTCTCTGGTGTGAAGCAAGGCTGTGTCTTAGCTCCTGCCCTGTTTAATATATATCTTCATGCAATGTTGTCTTATGCTTTTGATGCGGCTTGTGCTTACGGTGTTCGTGTGGAGCACCGTATTGATGGTGGGTTGCTGAACATCCGTCGTTTCGGTGCGAGAACTCTAGTCTGTGAGACAACTATCCGTAAGTTGCTGTTTGCTGACGACTGTGCGTTGTTTGCACACAACGCGGATGAGTTGCAGCACATGACTAATGCTCTGGCTTTGACAGCGGCCAAATTCGGGCTCACCATCAACACAAGCAAAACTGTCTGTCTCTTTCAGCCTTCACCGGAGGTGCAATCTTCAATATTGCCGCGAATCAGCAGTGGTGATGAAGTATTGGAAACCACCTCCCGCTTCTGCTACCTTGGGAGTATGATGTCGACTGACCAGCAGCTACACGTTTAGTTGCGTATCCGCGTGTCGAAGGCAGCGTCGGCATTCGGGAAGCTTGAATACCGAGTGTGGAACAACCATCTGCTTACCGTTGGCGCGAAGCTGATGGTGTACAAGTCCATGGTACTGTCCGACCTTCTCTACGGCAGTGAAACGTGGACGATGTACCGTCGGGATGTGCGATATCTCGAGCGGTTCCATCAGCAGTGTCTGCGACGAATTTTGCGGATCGGTTGGGGCGACAGAGTTGCAGACACGGAAGTTTTGC